GTGAGAGAGAGAGAGAGAGAGAGAGAGAGAGAGAGAGAGAGAGAGAGAGAGAGAGAGAGAGAGAGAGAGAGAGGTGCATTTAAGCACGCCATGGCACAGTATAAGAGAGAGAGAGGTGCATTTAAGCACGCCATGGCACATTATACGGCACCAGCATTCTTGGAAAAGAGGTTGATTGCACCACCGCACCACCATTCTCGGAAAAGAGGTCCATTGCACCACTGGGAAATACTTGGTAGAATGTCATGGGCTAATTTATGGCATTTTATGCTGAATGCATTTTAGAGCTTGTATGGATCAAAAGAGATTACGAGGGAACTTACATCAAATTACATGTATAAGGGAAAAAGGAAAGGACGGTGAAGGGGTTCTCTTTTAGGTGAATTAGGGTTGGACAACCAACGGACTCGTTAGCTCTTGATTATTCTTAATGAAGGTGAACAATGAGGGAGAGGGTTGGGGGGGGTGTCCAAGTGTTATATCCTCATGGAAATTCTCTTGCGTATTTATACAACTATTGTAACTTATAATTGAATATACACAGCCCCTCGTTTCTTGTCCTCTTCTCCCTCTCGGCCTACGGTTTAGCCTCCTGACGAGTCGTTGAAACTCCGACGAAACAGTTTGTCACAGCCCCTCGTTTGTTGTCCTCTTGTCCCTCTCTGCCTACGGTTTACCGGGGAGCTCTGTTTGACGATATATATTATGTATAATATGTATGTTTGGGAATACTATGTGTGTAGATATACATGCGGAGAAGTTCAAGGGCAGCACGCATTCATGTATGTAGTAGGTACACTTGTGTGTATACAAATGCATTGTTGCGGGCGAACTTGTTTGTATGTGTTTATATGCATGTTTGAGTAATCAAGCACTTTTCCATGGGCACAGGTTTAGTAGTTGCTTGCTCGTCTGTTTCAAGTCGAGCACATGTCAACAACCGGGAGGAAAGCTATGGTTTTATTATGCAGTTGAGCTTAATCATTTGCATGGACATCTCTGGAAGCAAGAGAGAGAGAGAGAGAGAGAGAGAGAGAGAGAGAGAGAGAGAGAGAGAGAGAGAGAGAGAGAGAGAGAGAGAGAGAGAGAGAGAGA